TTTACTTTACTTTACTACTTATTTTTATGGCGACTTTTTACTTCTACTCCTTACATTTTTACACAAATATCTGTACTTTCTACTCCTTACATTTAAAAAAATTGGCTCGTTACTTTAGTTTTGAATCATTTCAATGGAGTTACCGTTATTATTTTTCACGTCATCAATACCAAATTCAATCTAATTGGATGGGAATCTATGTTGCATTTGACGCACCACTGCAAGATGAATCGAGATTCGGCGGTATTCATTGGCGGCAAATTATTGCGGCTTGGTGGCGGTGGCGTTAGCATAGTAGTATGGACGACGAGATGATTGAAAATGAACACAACGGAGATCTAGTCCTATTGGCAGACATCCATTTAAAATGTAGGCAAAGGCATGAAAAAAGTGGTTTCTACTTTTACACTTTAAGTAAATTTAAAAGCCTGTACTTTGTTACTTTTACTTGAGTAAAGAAGTTTAATCAGTACTTCCACTTTTACCAGAGTATTTTTAACACAAGTATCTGTACTTTTACTCAAGTACGGAAAGTGAGTACTTTTGCCATCTCTGTAAAGGCGTTATCGTTGCTGTTTGCTGCTTCTTCTCTCTCAGGACGAGCCAACCACTGGTATGGACCCGCTGTCCAGGCGTTTCCTTTGGAACTCCATAATGAGCGTTATCCAGGATAGACGAGCAGTGGTCCTCACCTCCCACAGGTTAACCTTTTCTGTTGAACTCTACACGTGTGGGATTTTCTGTATTCACCGAAGTGGCTTAAAAAAGATTTTATTTTCTTACAGCATGGAAGAATGTGAAGCTCTGTGTACTCGCTTAGCCATTATGGTCAATGGATCCTTCAAATGCCTGGGAACCATTCAGCATCTAAAATACAAGTCAGTCCTGTCAACTTAAGCTCATATTTCTAATAACATCACCTGATCTGATCGCCGTGTCATTCCCATCCAGATTCGGCGACGGCTACGTTGTTACCATGAAGATCAGGGCGGCCAAACCCGGCTGCCCCCCAGACCTGAACCCTGCTGAGGCTTTCATGGAGAGCACCTTCCCTGGCTGCATCCAAAGGGAGAAACACCACAACACCCTGCAGTACAAGATCTCCTCCCCATCTCTGGCACGGATATTTCAAATGGTCCTCGCTAACAAGGACACGCTGAACATAGAGGATTACTCTGTTTCACAGACCACTCTTGATCAGGTGAAAATACACATATGCCATAGCCTTACATTGGCTTTCCTATTACATTTTATGTCATTTTAATATAACAATACATTAGTTCTCCAAGGTTTACACACCTTTGTTAAAAGTGCATTTTCCGTTATGTTAGAAAACACATCATGAAGCATTTAACATGGTAAACATTTTGTATATTCAAATTAAGACAAGAAAAATGACACATGTAGACATGGAATATATGCTGGTGAAAATTCTCAGTCATCCAGGTCATAGTCATAGAGACATAGACAGGTATGGGGCATTGCAGGCTAACAAAAGAAGCCAAACAACCCCCATTCCTAAGGGGTGGACCCGTTCGTCCTTTTCAATTTGCATGTTGTCTAAGCCAAAACGAGGCTTTGTTTGGGCTGTTTAAAGCAACTCAACGCTATTTCTGAAATTTTGAATTGGAAAAAGCTTCCGGGATGGGAAGCAAAATGTCTTCAAACTTGAAAACAAAGTCCAGTGGTTTGTTCTTTAACTTTTTTGGAATGACATGGACAATGGTACACCCCTAAACAAGCTGCTAATGCCCATTTTAGCATCCCTCTTTTTGACTTGCCATTCTGTAGCTGGAAATATCCCCCAAATAAAAATGTCTTATTTGTAGTCCTCTTTATTTGACTTTTCTTTCCAGGGCTGCTGACTTTGATAATTAAAAATGAAGTCTTCTTTCATCATCAGCTTTCTAGCAGAACAGGATTCATTTTGGTTATTTTGTAATTTCAGGTTGGTTTTATCATAACATAATATATTCCATCACGAAGTGTATGAATATTTTAGTGAAGTCTTTTCCAGCTCAATTAAAATGGATGTACATTATAAAAACTATGATTTTTAACAGGGGTGTTGCTTTATATTGTCGGCCAATATTGAAGGACTGACTAATTCTTATATAAAAACATAGAGCCGCTGTTTCTCCCTCACTGTCTGATGTAACAGGTTGTTTTTCTGATCCTTCCTCCTTAAACTCTTCTGCTCTTCCCTGCAGGTTTTTGTGAATTTTGCCAAGCAGCAGTCCAGAGAGGATGACACCATTGTGCTGCACCCAAAAGCTGCAGGGGCCCAACGGTACATTGAAACCACGGCGATCAAGTCTTACAGGAAGTGAAAGTCAGCTGATGGAAAGGCGTTCACTTTACTTGTCGTTGGATTTTTCCTCCTCTTTGAGTTGACGTCAATGAAAACAGCTGTCATATTCGACCTTTAAAAGGATCACTACACCTTCATCCTGTCTGAATCAGCTGAAACTGAAAGCTGCATTTATTCTGGAATCATAAAAAAAGCTCTAATGCCAGATTTTCTGAGCCTTTATGTTCATAGAGAGTGATCTTTCTCATGTGGGAAACCGATTGTAGAAGGAAGCCATGAGTTCTCTTTTATTTTGCTTTTGCTCAAAAGAAGTTACATAGTAGAGCATTTATGTGCCTGCTGCATGTTCCTCGTCTTGCTCGCCTTAGAACCCGATTTTAGAAATATGGAAAAGAACAGCAAATCCTTCAGACGGAACATCAAAATTAATGTGCATACGGTGTTGGGAGAAAGCGTAGCTCTTCGTACTCTGCTTCAGATGCCAAGCAAATACTTATGAACTGCCTTTATAAATCTGTGAAAGAAGCACTTGAAAAAGCTTAGTTTTTCTTTTTTTTTTTTTTGCACTTTATTGATTGCGAGCAAAACAATTTCTCACCATGACGTTTCACTTATACATTTGGTTATTACTACAGACATCCATCGGCTGATGCTGCAAACTCAAATCAGCCCGTCTGGGTATTTTTGTTATAATGTTTCATCATCTTTACGCTTTTCTTACGTGTGTCCGGTTCTGGTTGTTTGCTCACATTATACTTCATGTCATTAGAGGATGAGGAATGAATGTAAAAATAAGCGTTTCTATGAGATGCATCATATGAAAATAAAGTTTGTGTTTCTGTAAAATCTGCACCTTTATTTTAAGTAAGGTTTAGGAAAACCTGAGATCAGACACCAAACAACAACAATCAAAGCTCTTTGTAGTAGCCACATGGTAAAAGCATCTACATATTGATATTAAACAGTTGCTGAACATTTTCAGTGTTGTCAGTAAAAAGGCCCGACGGTTCATTAGCAAAAGGCAACTCTAAATGTTTTAAAAGATGTCATAGTATCCTAAATACGATACCTCTGGCTAAAAAAGCCATTAATTAATAAACAGCATTTAAAAAAAAAAAAGAAAAAAAGACAGACATAAGACTTCCTGGTTGTATAAAAGGGATGCAAAATTATACAATGTCAATATTTTTTCTCCTCTTTACAAATTTCAAGCACACAAGTTCAATGTTGCAACAAGAGGAAAGAAATTATAAAAATGTGATGCATGCTTTAAGACTAAATTAACATGGAGGTGTTGAAAGTCAGTCCTTAAGGGATAGTGTCCTGCATGTTTAGGCCCTTTGCAGGCAACCATTTTTGATGAATGCAGAAAAATGTTGTTGCCTTTCTGTTCGTGTTAAATGGTACCCTGAATTTGATGTTTTGAAATCATCTCTTTATTCATTGTTTACACATGGAAAACAGAAGCTCCACAGCTGCCAAAGTGTCTCACTTACTTCCTCACTTCAAGAAAAAATCCATTTATTTTAAGAAAATAATTACTTATTTAGAGTTCATTTTTTTGCAGTGCATCATTTTCAATATCTGCTAGTGCTGTTTGCATGGAGAATCATCATTCATCAGTAGAAAATAAAAAGGAAACAACTAGCTAGCTTTAAATCCATTGTGGTGTATGCACAAAATTCAATGTTTCCAGGGTTCAACAAACCCAACATTATATGAATAGGTCATCGGCACACTCAGTTGCTGACTCCTTAAGAAGCCTTTTTAATTCTGGAATCTTCTGTTAGAGTACTAGCACAACTAAAACATGCAAGACACTAGTCCTTCATGACTTGTTCACCTCTGTACACCTCATCACTTAACCCTCAAAAAGACGCAACGTCTACAGTCAAGACCAAAGGATTTGGCAGTAACACAGCAGTTTTGCTGATTTCAGTTTTTTGTTGCAATTCTGTGGTGTCATCATAGCAAGTAAAATATTTCCATATTTTCTTATTTAGTAGACATATTCCAAACTTTTAAAAAGCGTGAAACATTAAGGATTTGGCATGTCTACTCAATAAAACGTTTGCTATTCCCTCTAACAACATACATCTGGGTTAATTCCTGACTGATGGTGTCTATTCCTCGGTTATTAATATCAGGAATAGTCAGAGATGGGTAGTAACTAGTTACATTAAATCAGTTGGATTTACTTCAGTAACATTTTGAAAACAAATTTTCTTTTAGGAATAGTTTTCTCCCATATTTGTTGCTTTAACTTGAGTAATATTTTTGTGAAGTATCACTACTTCAACTTGAATAAAATCTCTAACTCTGTCCTCTGTGAGGTATTTGAACATTTAAACATACAGTAAACAGTAGATATAATCAGTTCAATTTCTTAACCTTGTCCTAACATACATACTGTTTCTAAGTTTTAAATGGAAAAAAAGTGTTGGTAAAAAGTATTTCCTCTGCATGAATTTGTTCTTTAATATTGATGACATTTATTTTTATTGTTCATTCCTTTGAGTCTTTAAAATACCTAAAGTCTGTCTGTCTATGTTATTTCTAAAATTAAATCCGATGCTGGTATCCAACAATTACTCAAGTAACGTTTTTACCAAATACCTCTTTACTTTAGTAAGAAAATGTTGAAGTAGTGCTACTCTTACAGTGTACTTGATTACTTTTTTTTTTTTTACTTTTAAACTTAAAATTTTAAATCCAGACATGGGGCCTCATGCATTAAGAAGTGCAAATCAAATGTGGTTCATGCAAAAGGAAACTCTGACCAGTCTCCATGTTGCTCCTGAAGCCTCTCACTACAATGCTTCTACCTGCATATTCCACAGTTGGGGTCGACTCTTCAATTGCTAAGTGACCTCCCAAACAAAAGGTCTGATTTTCAAAAAGTTTGCATACATATGAAACTAAAGACTTGTCCCAGTGCAAAAGGTTGATCTACTAACCAGGTACCAGTGGAATTACTAGTCTAAAATGAATGGAACTGCAGGAGCAAACACTATAGTGTGTTTGTCAATTATGTATTTTATTGAAATTGAAAAGGATAAGTCCTTTGAGATAAATCCACCTCATTATCAAGGAAGTTCTTAAAAAGATAAGACAAACAGACTGACTTTACTATTCAGGTGACTTCTAGGGGTAATTGGTAGCACTGAAAGTTATGAGATATCAGAGCAAAAAATGGTGAAAATGTAATTTCAATCAACCTGCTATTCAAATAACATTGTATTTGCTGTACTATTTTGCAGCCTTGTCTATAGATTTGAAATTATTTAAAAATATATATATATCTCTGCTGAGGTAAAATCAAGAGTTTTTTAGTTAACAAATATGCATCAGATTATTCTGTGTTTATATCTACATGGTCTGATTAGTTACCTCACAAATGAAAGCTGTTAAGTTTGCCAAACCTTATATGGGTCGCTGCCAAACCTATTGTCCATGTCTGTGCTGTTGCAACTAAACAGAAATTTTAAAATACTCAAAGGAAACTTTTAAGGCGCAGCTAAAGTGCATCTCTACATTATTGCTCAGCTTTTTTACCGTTTCTCAGTACAAAGTTGCATTGTGCAGCCCTCATGGGATGCAAGCTTTAGCAGTTATCAATAATCAAAAAATCAGGGGAATAATGGCCATCCGGACACTTGGATAGTCTTTGAACTCTCGTAGGTAGGCTTTGTGCTTCCCTTTGGCCCAGATGGACATCTGAATAAACCCAAATAAAGTGTATATTGCCACTGAAAAATAAAACATACAATTACAAACTACTTCTTACTAAAAAGCCTTCATGTATTTTTTTAATGTGGAGCTTATTGTCATATTTCTAAGGATGCACCAAGTGTTGTTAGTCTCTGGTAATCTTTTGCAAAACTAGAACCCGATTGTAGCCATATGAGCAATATCCAATTCTTTCAAAGAACTTTGAGCAGATTTCAAGATCCTTTAATCACCTATGTAGGAACAGAAGTGACATCACTGCATACAAGAGAGAGCACAGAGTGCAGAGGTCCTATTATAATGCTACATTCACACCGGACGCAGCAAGAGCAGCAAAATCGCGTCTGCTGCTTCATTTTTGCTGCTTGTACCAGTTAGTTCTGACGCACGGCCGAAGCAGCTTTGCTGCTCTGGTGCAAAAGTGGGTCTGACGCTCGTTGGGCAGAGCTTCACTATCCTTTCTCTGCCTTGCAGCTATATTTGCTGTGATCAGTGGGAATAAAGTAGTTTTAATATGTTTTTAAGTGAGAAAATACACCTGAAAACTTTATCAGTGCAGTCAGTTCATCCAGATTACAATCCTGCATTCCAATGTTATTTCTGTCGGAGCCGCTCAGACCCCCACATACCGGCGGTGCGCCGACAGAAGGAATCCCTTCAACAGCAGCCTCTGGCCGGGTCGCCTCCTCGCGGTTCACCGCGGCGGCTGGTAGGTGTTTTTCATCTAAATAATCCGATCTGCAGGCACCAGAATAATAAAAGCGAACATATTCTGCCGGCAGATTTCTGCATTTTAAGTTAATTTATGCGTCAATAAACTGTTTCAGAGGAGTGATCATAGCGCTCTGTATCATCAGCGCTGTGTCTCCCTCCCTGCCAGCTCCCATATCAGCTTCTCTGATTGGTTGACGCGGCGCGTCGAGCAGCAAAAGTTCAATTTTTCCATCTTGACCAGCAGCGCGTTTGCGGTGCGCCACTGCTTCACTGCTCCGACGCGCTGCGCTTGCTGCTCAAAATGCGCCGCGGGACCTTTTGCTGTGCCTTGACGCGCGTCAATATTTGACTTTGCATGTAAACTCGCTGCTTCTGTCGCGCCTGCTGAGTCCGGTGTGAACGCAGCATAAACTTCAATCTTTAGCCTTCCTGTTATCTGCAAAAAGTTTAACTCTCTATAAGCCAGAAAAAAATCCTGGACATAAAAAAAAAATAAAATTCACTAACCTCAATGTTAACTGAAAATAGCTAACTTTTCAACCTCCTCCCTTATCAACAACCTACAAGCTTATCAACACTTAAGTAGTGCTAGTACCTGAGATCTGGTTGACATTGTGCATCAATTAACAAAGATCATATATTCAAATTTGACAGGCAGTTCTAGGATCAATGCCAGTTTAACTTATGTGCTTATTCTGCTCACCAACTGATTTTTGGTGTATTTTAAGACATGCCATAATATAGATGATTTCATCACATACCTGGAAGACACTGGGTCATTACTGTAAAGCTCATCCATGCACCGACCTACAGATGTCAAACGAGAATGTACAGACAGAAAGGGTGTCGTAAATAATATTTTTTTTTTCATCAAGTATGTTTTAAAATCAACACTCTTAAATATAATAACTCAGATGGTAATTTAATTGCCTTAAATTTTACCTCGTAAGTATAATTTGGACAGGATACAAAGAAAAAAAGCCATGTGAAGGGATTCTTGGTTGGCATAGGAAACTTTCTAACCCTGAGTCCTGATTTTTCCACAAAGAAGAAGAAAACAGATCAAAGTAAAGGACTTCTGTTTGATAAGGAAAAAAATTTAGTAAAAACAAATGAAAAAAACTCACCATCTACTTTAAGGTTACGCAAACTGATATGAATAGAGAGGTTGCCCATTTCACACATCTAAAAAAGAAACTTCACTTATCAAAAGTTTGACTAAATCTTTGTTTGGTGTGAGTGTTTTATTTTACATACCACAAATGTGAATAGAGCATAGTTGACTTGAAGTTCTCCATAGGCTATAAGAGAAACATAGAACCTTTGAATTCAACATGAAATACATTTAAAAACACTGAAAAAACTATTATTATATTTTTTGCCTTGTGTAGGCTTGTTTTCTGTATTTCTGAGGTAGGAGGCTTATTTAACATTTGAGGTTCAAAGCTTCTTAGTAACTATTTTAAACTATGGTTGCAAAATTGGATCCCATTGCCTTCACTATAATGCAATGTGTTAATTAATGCACACCCCACAGATACCATAGAGTGAATGGTGGGAGTGGTGAGGGCATAGAGCTTGGAATCCTGAGGTGGTGAGTTTGAAACCCACTCACACAGAATGCCACTCTGCCTCCCGGAGCAAAAGATCCTTAACCCCAAATTGCTCCCCGGGTACCGCAAATGGCAGCCTACTGCTCCCCAAGGGGATGGGTTAAATGCAGAGAGTCCATTTCGTTGCTCTGTAATTGTGACAGTGTAATAACAATGAAAACAAACGCTGGGGGATGATTTTTTTTTTAAATTCCCCCCTGAAAGTAGGACATGTCCGGGAAAAGGAGGACGTCTGGTCACCCTACCATATCAACAATTTCGATGTTTCAGTGAGTGAGTGCTTGTTGCTATGATGTGTCTTTGCTAAGCAGCTTTGCTCATTGTAAACCAACCAATCAGCGCACAGCTCATCTAAATATTCATGAGCATAACATGAATATTTCTAGGACTTTTAACCAGGCTTGCATTAGGGCTCTTAGATCAGCAAATATGCCATTTTCAGCCAACCAATGTATCATTCTATGACCCTATAAATTACTATATTATAAATTACACATGTCCTGTATATAAATGAATGGACATCAGCAACAACAGTATTCAATTGAAGATTATGCTGCAAATATGGCCCATAATAAATATAGTTAAAATTTGGTTTGATCCCACAATGGTAGGAAAGTGTGAACACTCTGGAGGGTGTTTGCACATAGTTGGACTTACATGGAGGCGTATAAAGAGGGTGGTTGATGTAGTAGGCTAACCATGCAGAGAAACCCCAGTAATAGGCACAGTTCTACAGAGAAAAAGTAACAAATAACTGCTATAAATGTACCCGATGCTTAAAGTTAAATACTGCTGTTTGTTTTTGTATTTGTATTTATCTAAGGATGAGTCTTATAGCAGTAACAGTTGGAAAACGAAAGGTGTATTAGGAGAAGAAAAAACTTTTTTTTTTGTGTGTGTGCACAGTTATAGAGTAACTTTGACTATTGCTCTGAGTGGCATGGTCCCATGGGAGAAACGGTGGACAAAGATGGTCTCCATAAGCCTCTTCATATAGTGGAGCGTGTGGCAGACACAAGCAAATCTGAAAGACAAAGAAAAAAGACTGAGTGTAGGTCCAAGGTAATTTAAAACTACATTTAACAGTTTTTTTAATTCAATTAATTTAATTCTCACTGTTGACAAAGGCAGTCAACTTCTTATTCTTTTAGCTGATTTCCATGCTTCAAAACCACTAAAAACTAAAGATCATTACAGATGGTTATTAAGTTTTTAGCTGAACATCTGTGGCTGATATGGTAGTAGATGGATCCTACCATGAAGTTCTTAACCCCTTGATGCCCATTGATGCAAATGTGCAACAAACCATTTGTATTGTGTACACAGCCAAGATAGGATGTGCATTAGGTTATTGCCAGTTTGTGTACTTTGAGTGTGGACCTAGGAACGTTTGGCAAGCTCTTGTTTCCATTACAACTGGTTCCTAACAGTGTATATCGTCAGTAACTTATATAAATGTCACTAATTTGTGATATAAATACATTTCGATTTACATTTTAATTAAATGTAAGGTTTTAGAAATTCAATTTGGCGACCACTTAAATGCAAAACACCTTTTAAAAAAACATATATTCAGTATATATATATACATCCGGGCATCAAGCAGTTAACATACAGTACCAGGGCTTGTAGATGGAGGTGAATGGATAAACAAGAGAATCGCTCCAAACTGCCCTCTCATGGTGGTTCATGAAATTGATTTTGCAAACATTTATAGTCTGAGGATTGCAGAGTCTAACAAGATGATGCATTCACTGATTCTGGTCGGGATGTATTAATACATGCAATGTCATATGTTATGACACGTTCACTCGTCAAAATAGTGGCAAATCATTGGTACGATCAGCGAAGACACCCAGATTGAGCATATAGTCAGTAAACAACTAGTCTGTCTTTGGCTTGTTATTTATCATAACTTGGGCTTTAGTTGCAAGTTTGTTTTTAACTTACGTAACAACAGGATGGCTGCTGGAGGTAAAGGCATACGTGTGAGGGTAAACATACGGCACTCGAAAAAAGAAGACCAGGTATGTGAGCAGGGCTCCGATGTACTCTGCAAAAAATACCTTAAAATAAAAGAGGCTTTATATTACCTACAAGGGTGTTTTTGGATGTAAAAACTGAACTAAAATAGAGTATTAGTAAAATTCAAACATAGTGCTCTCACCGTAGTCCAACCTAGCTGTGGACCGAGATCTTTAAAGTACATGGTGGCAGTGGTTCCCACCGGTAGATTCTGTAAGATCTCATGATCTTTGAGCAATTTTCCCTCTGAAAAGGCAAATTAAAAGTATTTTCTACATTAATGCTGTAGTAGGCCCAAAATGGTAGAATTATCCTATAGCAGAAAGAAGAACACTTGAAAAGGATTCATCCAATTTTGTCCTCCAGAGGGGGGAAAACATTTATTAACAGGTCAAATTCCAACAGCTGTCTAAAACTTCACCAATCCAGCGCATATACATTCTCAGCCTTTTCCCCCAAAATGGCGGGCTCATATGAAGCTGTATTTGTACCCTAGCACCAAGTACTATTTTGTGTGTGTGTGCTGGCCAACGTTGGCTCTGATTCCTAAACAGGAAAGAGATTTTTCCTGTTTTTGCCACGATATCTTCGCTCAAAATCCTACGTGCACGTCACCAGTTAAGATCTTGTTTTTGCCAAGATTCGTAAGTGACCTCTAGCATGTATTACTAATGTGGATAAAAGAAATAGGCCTTTATAATTACTTATATAATTTATTTACTTCTGCAATATTAATTCAGACTTTGGAAACTTTGCATCTTTAATGTTTTTACCTGAATAGTTTTACAAAAGTTTTGTTTTCAAACACCTTCCTTTGGAGCCTGATGGTTCACGTTAAAACATGACAAGCCTAGGTAATGCCATAATGACCAAACAATATCAAAGTTATACTAAAACAAACTCAAAATCTTCAGAGGATGCTTCCTTGCAGAGAGGATGGTAGAGTGAAGCTACTGCAGACTCTCATGTATATTAGTGTAGCAGTATGAACCCAATCAGTTCTGGGCCACATGAAGAACACACCACCAAACTGATCTTCCATGGGGCAAAAGACTTCTTAGCTTAAAATTTCAGTAATGTTAACTCACTTTTATATGGCACTGTATGCAGTAAACTACACAAAGCAGCAGACTCCTGTCTGTTGTCTTTTGGAAAAGAAAATATTTAGTGTCTTTCTGCAGACACTTCTCTGTTAATTCTATCATGTCAGCTCTGTCAAGTTGTAAAACTAAGGACTGTCAGGGATGGGTGGAAGTTGGTTGAGGACCCAAATGCTGAGATAGATGGAGGTAGATGTGCAGATGCCGATCACTGATTGGTTTCCTGAATAATGGAGACAGCTGATTGGTGGACACATAAAAAGCAAGACGATGCACACTGCTTGTCCTACCTCTTCTCTGCATGTCTCAACCAGCAACATTGTTGCACCTCACTTGTTCTGAATTGCTGTTTATGTTGCATTATGGTTTTCTCATTTTTATGTAGTTATGGAGGTAAGTTGTTGTTATTTGGTTTACTGGTTTATTTTCATTTGTTAAGTGTTTTTCTTAAGATAGTTTCTTTTGTTTATTTTTTATTGTTTGTTTATTGTTTTCGGCCTTGGTTCACTCTGAAAATGTGTTACTCTACTTCCATTTAATAAATCAACAGACAACAGGCGTGTTGGAACTAATAATTGTTGGGGTTGCTTGGGCTTTGTTGAGCATTGGGATCATTAATAATATGTTGTGATTAGAGCTTTTCCCCTAGACAGGTCGTAACAGTCTTTTTTGTATAAGCACACAGCGTTATTGGGCACCTTTAAATCCCTTTGAAATCCAAGAGGTTTTTGGTTGTAGAGTGACAAAATCAAAGAAAGTTCAAAGAATAGGAGTGCTTTCATGCAGCATTGTACAATATAGAATAATTTCTCTTTAAATCAAAAAATGTTTAAACTGTGTTAGATTATTCTAAGTTATCTCTGATGCTGTTTATGATACACTTATAACTGAAGTATTTCTTAATGAGTTGGAAACTTATCTACTTACTAGGATCAAGCCTTAATGCCTGTCTTGCTGGGTACCACTGAGGATCTGGGCAGAAAAAACACACACTCAAAGCTTCTACACTTACATAGATACTTGGCTTGCATTGCATAAAGGATTTTGGCTTGAGGCTCTATGGTAATTTCATGCAATAAAGTAATGCAAGCTGCAGTGCCCTACTGGGGGCTGATGGCCTCAGGCTTGGCAAACATTTAGCAACATCTTTAAACAGTGATGAGCTTATAGTAGATGCCCCTGCAAGCTTGAAAAACATAAACAGGAAATTGTTATTAACAACTTTCCCAGGGAAGAGAGACTGTATGATATCAGGGGTAACTTCAATACACGCTAAATGGGTTTTATCTTTATCTTTGTCCAAGAATCATAGGGAATAAAGTTATAACTGACAGTATATCAACTTATAGAGACAAAATTTGAAATATATAGAATATTACAGCTTTGTCTCAATCAGAAAGAATGACAGAAACATTTAGACCACAAAGAAAACTCAAAGTGGTTTATATAAGCATGAGATTATTCAGATCAAAACACTCACATGATTTGTAAAATAGATTCTTTATGTCTCCTATTGTTGAGTGAGGGGCCACCTGATCAGAACAAAAGCAGGAAATAAATTCCTCTGAATTGAAACCACTGCTCTCTGCTGTAGATGAAACTCTATCGTGCATCAATAAAGTCACACCTAAACCTGTTCTGAATATCTTATACCTAAGCATACCTTATCTAAAAAACAAAGCTGTTCCTTTGTCTTTGCATCAATGATCTCCACCTGAAAAACAAGCAAAAACCTCAGTTAGAATCCCATAATAAAATCTTGCAGATTATTGGATCACCAGAATAAAATTTAAATGTACATCTTTTAAAATGTGAGCACTTGTTGCCCTTGATTCAAGTCTAAATTTTTAAAATCAGACTAATATTTTAGATGTATACAAATGTCCCTCTCTGCGGAGGCTTCCAGTGAGTGTTTAATTCAACAAGTGTTCCTAGTTATCAGCACCTAATCATAAGGATTTAGAATCAATCTTACAGCTTCTGGATTTCTTTTTTTTTTTTTTAAAAAGCGTTGAATATTCATGATAAAAAAAGGTTAGAACCACTTCTTCCTTTAACGTAGTAAATATATCATTTTAAACTCTGAAAAATGTGCTCAGTTTTCTGAATATTTTTTAATGCTGCTCCACTTATTTTGGTAAAATTTACATTCTGCACTGAAGAAACAAGAGGAGCTAAAAAAATCTTTTGAAAGTAGCATAATTCTGATCCTGTTTTTTCTCTTATAGCTATGAGCCATTGGTATTCTTGTGTAACATTTGTAATTTTATGTCTTAATTATTCTCTTACTTTAAACCTATGATTTTATTGCATTACATAATCCTTTATTTATAGAGTGGTGTGTGAACAAACAGATTTTTGAGTTGCTAAGTATGTGTCAAATGAAGGGGAAATGATGCAAACTTAACATTGTGTCAAATGAGCTATCTCTATAGTTATGCTTCTATAGGCTTATACTTCTGGAGGACATAGGGACCCTATTTCATCATTCTGCTTCATTCTATCTCTATTCTCCCACTCTACAGAATCTGTTAGTTTCTGTTTGGCTGTGACTCCATCCTGGAGAGAAATATCAACTGTGCTGCTGCCATCAACACCTTTGTTTATAGATGTTGGAGATCTACCTGTTTTCCAGTGTAGTCCTGTTTCTCTGACTGTGACTGGCTGGATGTGCTCTCTTCATCCTCTGACATGGGATCTGGCTCGGAGCTCGTCTGCCTGGCTGTGTGTTTCCTGGACAGGGCCTCCTTTTATAGCTGCTTTTTGTATCACTGCTTCTGTCTCCTTGAACCCCAGTCGGCCTCATCACACGGCCGCTCACACTGAGCCTGATTCTGCTAGAGGTTTCTTCCTGTTAAAAGGGAGTTTTTCCTCTCCACTGTCGCTACAAGCATGCTGAGTGTGAGGGATTGCAATCGAGTCAATGAGTCGATGCAATCAACTGATTTTCCTTAGATAGAAAACTAAATAAATTTGACTGTATGATCTGGTGAACTGTAAAGTGCCTTGAGATGACATGATTTGTGAATCTATATAAATATAAATATATACAAATAAACTAAATTGAAATTGAAACTGAATGAGTAAGTACCTGGTATAACTAACCTAACAATATTTCCCCAAGTATTGAGGTCTTCCATCATCAAGAACATGGATTCCTTCCCTGTTTGACCTTTTTAGCAGATATTTCTTGCCAAAGACTCATATTCCCCAGGATAATAGGGGTAATCATCAAATTGAGGGCCAAGTCCTACAGATGGAGCTGCAGTATCTTTTTTTGTTATATGAAATTACCTATATATTTGTGTTTACTTTTAACTTCTCCTACTACAAAATGGCACCGTTTGTACAGAAGCCTTACTTTGAATTAAGACTATACTCAAGCTTTGTACTCTATGAGGATCTGTGCTGCTCTCTACATGTTTAACATCCTAATTAGTCTGTGTCAGTGGTGATGTACAGCATATGCATGCAGGGTTCTGGATGGACCGACAATTTGCCCTGAAAGCATTCCATACTGTGCTCTTCAGCAGAGCTGTCCCAGCTAAATTGTTCCTTTACTGGACAGTGTAATAATCCACTAATGGATGCCGGAAGATTTGCTGAGTGCAGTTTCAAGAAGGAGAAAACGAGAAAAAAGTGTGGCCACAAAATGTGCATTATAAGAAAGTGTTATGGGAAAGAGTTTAAATCATTTGTCTGTTTATTGAGGTTTCAATTAAAATACTTTGCTATAGACTTCAGGACCTTTCATCAGAAGACCAGGGAGGGTGTAGTATTGTCACAAATCAAAAATTCTTTGAGATAGTCCAAAGGTGCTGTTGTTTAGTGTGTTGAAAAGCAATGTTCTCAAAGTTGACATGTATCTTGAATACATTGTGACAGGGTTCACCAATCAACCCCCCCCCCCCCCCCCCCCCCCCCCCCCCCCCCCCAATAAAAGACACATGACAATCAGCTTTTATATTAAATGTTAGAAAAAATATATTATGAAAGTAATCACTCCGGATGGGATTTATTACCCAGACAGAAAGGCAATAGAAAAAATGCTAGGATCATCTAAATTCACTTTGTTTTTGCTTTAACTTAAAATCCTGCTGAAGGGATTGCCTTTTTTTCTAAGTTTGTTGTGTCATTAGCTAAAACAAGACAAGAGTTGGTTAATTTAGATATAGTTTAAGTTGTACCCACATGCTAATGCTAGTAATTTTTATAATCCATGCAAAGAATTACCGTAAATCCTCTAATATAGGATGGGACCTTTATTTCACTCAGGTACATCTTGGTCCAGGCCATAATTGGATTTTGATTTTACGTTATTACATCGTGTTCTAGTCACCCATATGAGTTTTGTGTCATTTGGAGCTGTTCTGAAGATATTCCGTTAGGTTATATCCAAGTAACGTCTTCCTATGGGCAACGACTTGAAGGAACAAACTGAACTGTTCATAATGTGTTCTTTATGGTATGCCAGCATTCATAACATGTAGGCAAATCGCTGTTCCCCAGACATCCACGGTTATATTTTTTATTTATATATTTATATGTTTAAAAACAAAGCAGCGCATGTATGACGTTTACGGTAGATATACTAGATACTAAGCAGATTTTAAAGTTGGCGAAGTTTCTTCAAAGTTTGTTGTCCTGATTTTGCCTTTAATGTGACAAGATGCTCCTTACAGTGGGGAGTGTTGGCCTAGTGGTTAGAGCTGTGTGCCCACGTTTCGGGAAAGGTTGCAAGTACCAGGTTCGATCCCCACAGCCTCCACTCTGGGTCCCTGAGCAAGACCCCTAACCCCACACTGCTCCCCGGGGGGCTGCACAATATCATCCCTCTGCTCCCCAAGGGGAGGAGTTAAATGCAGAGATACATTTCTCCAATATGAGATCAATAAATAATAATAAATAAATAATAGATAAATAAATCCATTAATATTATGACCATGGTTTGTTGTGTCTGCTAAGTAATTAATTAGCTTAGCATAATTTCTGGAAACAGAAGTTAGCCTACTATGGTGTGGAGAAAAGCACTTTCTTTAATAACAACCTGAACAAGAGAGAACAACTTCAAATATTTTGCCATGAAAATTTAAAATAACAACAACAATAATAATAATGACTGCATGTTTCTCAAGAGATCAGGCTTCAGCAGAATACATCCTCCTAATGAACCATTCAAATATTTGTTTTCTTTTCCAGCTTCTAGGGCATGACCAGGTTCCCAGAGCACTGACTTACCTCAAAGAATGTTGTTCTACTCATTGTGGTTGATGGTAATAAATAAATCCTTTCTGTACCAGCAGAAAAGAAAAGCGGAAGACAGATACTCATCCCTCTCTCAAACACAGACCAAAATAGCTCCTCTGCTTTTCAGGACAATCCTTGGACTGACCGTTTTTCTTTTCAGTCTTCCACTCAGTCTCTCTCCTTCTCTTGAACCAAAGCTGTGGCAGGACACAGAATCCCATCCTGCTCCATCTAATCCAATATATTAGGCACTGCTGCCTCCCCCTGTTTGCAACGTTGGCTTTTGAGTTTCTTTTTGTATCACAGTATCCTTTAAGAAATGGCTCAGCCTAATTTTGCTATAATTTTGCAGTATTTGAACTGTAAGGAAGAGCAAATAAGTTACAAAACAATAAGACTTTCTAATGTGTTCCTCTTTTTCAAATAAAAAAATATCTAAGAAGTACGTAGGAAAATAATTTAAGAATTTGCAACGTAAACTAATGCAGATGACAGTTAGCAAGTCCTGGGGACAAACTTTGACATTTTGTGTATTCACCTGTGAAATTGGATTAGCAAAGTAGAAAAGATATCAAAACCAAATTGGCAATTTTCCAGATCCGAGTGAAAAAGCTGAGCCATCTCCTGATGGATTTGCCCTGTGCTCGAACTGCTAGTAGCAACACAAGCAAATGATAGTTTCCAAACTTTCCATTATTACAAATACAGTATTAACATTTATTCAAAATTAAATCAATACAGCTTGTCTGAAAGATTTTAATAAGATCAGAAGCTTAAATAAACAGTTTTCCCCAGCACTCATCTTTACCTTCTTCAAGCATTGCAACATAAAACCTTGTAATTTAAATGTCTGGATAAAAATGTGAAGCATAGTGGGCAGTTAAATAAATCATGCAATGGCAATGAATAATAATCTTTTTGTATTTAAATAACTGTCACTGTGATGGTAGTGCAAAAACTTACTGAGGTAATTGATGCATAAGGTTAGAGAACCACGGCCTCGTGATTAGGACATAGAGCTTGGAACCCTCAGGTTCTGAATTCAAACCCCTCTCCCACAGATTGCCACTCTGGTTCCCTGAGCAAAGACCCTTAACCCAACACTGTTCCCATGGTGCCGAAAAATGGCAGCCCACTGCTCATTTTGTTGCTTTGCACTTGTGACAGTTTAATGGCAATAAAAAAGCTGGAAAGATATAGTTCTTTACTGTGTCTGAAGACACAATGAAAAGCTTAAGAACAATGATTTAATGTCCAGACCTTATAAAGTACTGAAAGGTACGGCTCTGGTCTACTTGAACCCTCTTGCAAAGGCTTATGGCACAACTCGGTCACTCCGGTCATCAATGGATAAATAATAATAATAATTTTATTTCAAATGTACCTTTTCTGGACACTCAAGGTCACTGTACAAACGATAAAAACACAGTGGCAGAAACAAAGTCAAAACACAGAATAAAAAAAATCATATAAACAATACAAATACTGGGACAGGGAAATTAATATTAAAGAGAATAGGCAATTTTGAGTTGTGATTTGAAATGGCGGTGATAGCGGTGATAGACAGTTCCAGAGGCGGGGGGCACAGCAGCTGAATACTCTGCTCCCCATGGTGGGGAGATGGGCAGAAGGGATGGACAGGTGTAAAGAGGATCTGAGAGCACGAGAGGGGGTGGGAACATCCAGGAGGCCTGACAGATATGGGGGGGCAAGGTGATGAAGGGCCTTGAATGTCAACATGAGAATTTTATATTGAATGGGTGGAGCTGTCGGAGGACCGGGGTGATGTGGTGGAAATAGAAGTTGTTATAATGCAGGCAGCTGAGTTTTAGTTTATGAAGGGATTTTTGAGGAAGGCCAAAGAGGAGGGAGTTACAATAGTCGAGTCGGGACATGACGAGGCTGTGGACAAGTTGATGCTTCTTAAGTGAAAAGTAGGCAGACTGGGTAATGTTATTGATATGGGATTGAAAGGATAGGGTGGTATCAAGGATGACACCCATACTCTTAACTAATGTTTAATAGAAGGAAGTTGTTGGTGAACCATTTCATTTCACCATATTTCAGAGATGCAATTTGTGAGGGAGGTGGACGGAAGAGAAAACAATGATTTTGTTGAAGTAGAGCTGGGTGTCTTCAGCATAGCAGTGGAAGTGAATGTTAAATTTGTATAGTAAAACCCATCTGTATATATGCTATTGTAACTGTAAAAACCCTTTTTATAGTAATATTCACCTGTATATTATATTCGGTAGATATCCAGCTGTAAATTTAGTTCATAACCCTTGTGATCTATATATTATATTCATTATTTATAATAGTATTCATCTCTATAATCATTCAGTAAAAACCCATGTCCTGTATTTATGGAACCATTATTTATCCTGCACTTGCTGCTATTGCACTTCTGGTTAGACCTAAGCTGCATTTCATTGCCTTGTACCTGTACATGTTTAATGACAATAAAGTTGAATCTAATCTAATCTAATCTAAATTTGCGGAAGATACTGCCAAGGGGAAGGAGGTAGATGATGAAGAGGAGGGGTTCCATGACATTGTTTAGGTGTTAATGTGTGTACACGCAAAAATGTCACATCAATAACCTGAGGCAGGACCTCATTCTCGTATAATTTTTTTCAACTTTCTCCTATCAGCCGAACCTCCTGCATTTTATCATGAAACGCCAATGGCTTAGAGGTAAGCATGTATTGCATGGACAAAGAGAAAGTAACATTTCTAGATGCACAGAGATGTTCCACCGACTATCTGGAGCCATAACAACAGCAGAAAATACTGAATTAGGTAAATGGGAAACAGATTCACATTTTTCTTTCTAGATTTATCAGTTAAATAAATTAATTGAAAAAGATATATACCTTTTCTTCCATTCACAGTGGTGCCCTGTTGGTTTACCATGTAAAATCCCCCTAAAATAAATACTGTAAGTCTGAGGGTGTAACCTGTCACATTAGGGGTGCTCAAAGTGTATATGACCAGCAAGAAGTTGTCCTCTTTGCACTGTGTGTGGAGTAATAATGTTTACTTAGTTACAATATTAGGGAGCAACATAACAGTATACATATTTTCTTATCAAAGCACTGTTTAGGATAGAAATCAAACTTTATTTTCTAGTGTCTTCCCACACAAAACTGTTTGTCTTTAGCTTTCATATCTGGGAAAATTTGAGATGTCACAAGAGTTCCCTCTTCTGGTGATTTTGGTAAATGAAACTGTGTGATCTGATGATGTTGCTGGAAGGAAAAATAAAAGCTTTAAAGGATTTTAAAGAACTAATGGGGAAAAGAATCTTTGCAATAAATTGACCTGTGTCTGATCACATTTAGGCTTTTAAAATCCACTCGGAAGAGAAATGTTTCTCTGAGGTATCTATGTATTTTGCAGCATGAAAGTGTTTTTCTGTTTTTTTTTTTTTAGGGTGTAGAAGAAGGAAAACTCTGCTTTGCTCATGAAAATAACATGTTTTGTTTGTGGAACCCTGTCGCTCCCTTTAGCAGCTTAAATCTCAAATTGTGAAACTCACTTCCTATGATGAAACGTGTGAGACTGCATCACAGCTGGAGCCAGGTGCCTGCTGATCCCAAGGGTCATTACTGGCTTTTCTATCAAGCTCCATCACCCTCTAACCTGTTAGGGTTCCAGCTCAGGGCACTTTGAGCTTTTCTTTTTTTTTGTTATCAAAATGTGGAGTTTAGATTGAAAGAGGCTAGAGGCTATGGCTACACCTAATGGAGTCACTGCAGGATAAGGGCAGGGATGACGGCTAGTAGGACATCTTCTTTTTCGCTCCCTGCAGAGATCTGAGGCCATGACCCAGAGAGAGAAGCCTCTGTGTGTCCATGCAATACATGCTTACCTCTGAGCCTCTGAAGTTTCATGAGGTTCAGCTGATAGGAGAAAGTTCACAAATTATACGAGAATGAGGTCCTGCCTCGGGTTAATGGTGTTTTCTTCAAATGTTGCTCTTAGCTAAGAAAAAAAAATGTTTGTGTGTACACACATCGACACCTAAACATACACACAAGCCACCCTGCTGTGTTTTCCTGTCGTATGGGGACTTTTCATTTACTTCCATTTATTCGTAAGCCCTAACACAGATTCTTACCTAACCCAAAAACTTAACCTTAACTGATTTCAAACCTTAGACCTAAACCTATGAGCAAAATATAAGAAGAAAGAAGATAACTTTTCCTCATGAGGACCAACTCAGTGGTTTGGTTCTCACAAAGGTAACAAATAAAAGTAGACATACAAACAAACATGTATTTGTTGTCTTGTGACGACAATTTCTCAGGAATAATCTACGGCTATTCCCTATGAGATGAAAAGGTCTGTTCTTGGGAAGAAAAATGAATGGAAGTCAATTGAAATTCCCTGTAAGGAAGCAAGATATAACATGTATACACACCTTTTCATTTTCCTGTATGTAGTGAAGATTACGTGTTGACTTCCAAAGACTTTCATTAATTATGAAAATCTTTGGACCCTTTTTATTGCCTAAGCTTGAAAATAAGCTATAAAATGGAATCAAAAGTTAGTTAAATAAAGGAACAGATCTTTCCTGTTTTCACAGTGATTGCTGGATGGTTATTCTTAACAAACAGCAAAAATCTTTAGCAAATTGTTCAGCAAATCCGAGAACGCACCATAGCAAACACCTTAGCAAACGAACGCTTCTGCTGTGACCACAAAACCATTAATGTCACACTGGGGGATCTGCTCTGGTCTGACTGGAGCTACAGAGATCATCTTGTGGTTTTGATCGACAATTTTTGCTGTTATCTGCAATGGCGCATAGATGTGTAGCAATGCATTGATCTCAAGATGGTGGAGGGATCTTTGAGTTACCTAAAAACAAACCTAGAAACTGCCCTTGCAGTTGCGAACTTACAAAGCAGCAGTTCCAGTACCTGTTTTATAACTGAACTCTGTTAGTCATCCACTGAAATACACAGACTTGATGAAGATTCATAAGTTTTTTTTGTCACTATTGCTTTATCCATTGGCTACCCAATATGGCAGATATACACAAACACATATGTCACACTTCTGGCTTTGGTATTGGCTAAATATGGAACCAGTAAAAAGTGTTTTCTTTTAAAAAACTGATTTGTTTTTGATCATTAGTAT